CATGGACAACCATCTACATTTATTCAAATACAGTCATGTCGTCTTCTTCTGGTTGCTGCACAAGAGTGGAGGGCAGGGTTTCACTTAACTAGGGCTTATTTTTTGGGGGTAGGGCTTATATTACGAGCATCCTGAAAAATCCTACTAGGGCTTATTTTCAGGTTAGGTCTTATTTTCAGTGCAACAGTTTATTTTTCCATTGTAATGCAATTGCTACCCTTCAAATGATTACATAGATCAGGCTTACATCCCTGGAGCAATACACCTCTACCTAAACATCCGAGCTTGCTGTTGGCCATATGGCCTGGGGGGTAATTGTATTTCCCCCCCATTTATTTATTTATTTGATTTATATACCACTCCATTAGTGCAAGCACTACATTGGGTGTTTTACGAGATTAAAATTTACAATCCAGCAGCAGCAGTATCTATTAATAACAATAAACATTATTAGTATTATTATTATTTCCAAAGTTTTATCCAACACACAGGATTTCTACTGCAACTGGTCATCTTCCTTAGCGCTCAGGTTACCTTCTGCAGCCTAGCTTGATTTTCCTTCCATGCTGATAGCAATAATATATATGTCATTATTTTTTACAATGTGCATTTGTGCCCCTGAGAACACGTTATATCCTCAGATTACATGGTATCAAGTTCATAGGTATACAAGATAAAGCAGCAGGTCACTGGGAGAGACAGACTGTATAACGTGGCGAAGTAATTGACTATACTTCCAATGAAGAGAACCTCTGGACAAACAAATGGAACATTACATGGTCTTAACCTGGAGGATAAGATTTAAGTGTTTACCTATGTTTTTAATTCTTCTTAAAACCTATCTCATTGTTAAAGAACAGGTATCATCATCTTTGGAGCCTTCTCCATCATTCTAGCCTCTGATTTTAATAATCTTAAGCACTCTCCCCTTATTACACTTGGACTGCTTTGAAATCTAGTTTTGTCACTGAAGGAATACATTCAAATGAATTATTAAATCAGTCTTAAGAATATCAAGGTTTTATTACACACACACGTGACCCCACTGTTAAAGAACTAGTGGCTAAAGCATCAACACAGAGACTGATAAACATAATGGTTATTTCTTTTATGTTTTCTGACCACAGCCTTTTTTTAAAAAGCCTAAATTGGAATTCTAAAATATGCATGTATTTGCAAAGTGAGCAGACAGTAGTCCTATATTCACTCAGGCCTTCAACATCCTTAGCAATGTGACTGTATACAGTACTTATCCACTGCCAAGTAAATGGATATAGGATCACAACCTGATTTTATGAAATTTATTTTGACTATGCTGTTAAGAATTGTATTTTAATTTTTTGGGTAAATAATTTTTGCAGCTCTGTTGAAGGACAGTGCAGGAAGCTTTTAAACAAAATGGTCCCACCGTGCTCAGCGAGGTTTACTCCCCCACTGTATTAGTAATCATGCATTGGATTGCATTGAGCACTTGCAATCTTATATCCACTTGCTTGGGAGAAGACCACTTTGAACTCAGCTGAGGAAGTATGTAATAGATTGCATTGGAAGTTGACCTAGAAAGAAGTCCCACTAGGTTCAGAAAAACATACTTCCTTAGGAGACATTTTAAGGGGTATGGGTGTGTCCATTTTATATCTATAGACCTATACAGAAATATATCTTTAGTAGAGTTGGTACGTTTAAACAGTGAAGTTCATCAATATGAATGATTAAAGTATCTGTGAGAAAGAGTTTTTCTTTTTATCAGGCAAGATAAATTGCTTGCAAAAGCTTGTTGCAGTAATAAATTTGCCATGGTATTCCAAGATCCTTTGTTTTTCCCCCCTGCAAAAAGGGCTACCTCCCTGACAAATAAAATATATGGAATTTAAACCCATTTTAAAATGGCAGCACCAAATCTGTTATTACTAAGTATTGTTAAGTGCAGTATCTAGTTAATGGACAAGTTTGAAGGGTGTCACATAGGGAGCAAAATTAACTCCTGCAAATGAGATTCTGCCTTCATCCACAGCCTTTAACAAATAACACAGCTACTCTGAAGAAATGCTCAGGACTTTTTAAGTCATTCTGAGTGCCTGTATTTTGCCAAGAAAGAGGCTCCTTTATACGTTATTAAAAGATGCTCAAGTGGAGACAAGTTGCTGCCAACTGTGAGTGGCCTTAAATGAACTCAGATTTAAAAGATGAATCCATACCATGGATTGTGTGGAAGTTTTCTTTCTTTTTTTAAGTTGCCCTTGAATCTGGGGCAACAAACCAGTGGTATGGACAGGTCTATTTGAATGCAACAGTCACACTGTTCTTCCCTGCTTGCCAGAAAAGAATTCTTAATTAGGCTTCAATTGTCCGGGAATGATTTCACACTGTATAAGTGAGAAGGAAAAAAACTCCAGTGTCTGTGATGCACCATAAATATGAGGGCTGTAAAGTAACAGGTTCTACCCCATATAGCACAGAAACCATCTTGGACCTCATTTGATTGAAAGGAGGAGGGAACATCTTTAAAATACACAGTACCTATGATGAATCTAGCTCAATTGTAACTCTTAGCAGAATGTTTTCCGTGTTCTTCCAAAGTCTCCGTCTTGCTAAAATCATTTGATTTTTGCTGGATAATTGTTTTCAAATTGTGTTCTGGGGAACCCTTGAGTGTTTTGTTTTTGAAACTTACTGGTAAGAGCACAAATAGTTTGTAATTGCATTTGTCACTGTTCAGGGATGTGTTTCATGTTTTGTGAAGGAACTGGACTCGATGACCCTTAAGGCACCTTCCAACTTTTTGGTTTTTTGACAGGCAACCTTCTTTGGAGTAGTTTGCGGGCGAGTAGACTAAAAGACTGGATGAAAAAAATGAGACTGAAGAAACAATTGAAGCAAATTCCTCAAAGTAAGGATCTAATTTGGTTAAACTATGAACAACTAGAGAAATGGACTAAAGAATGGATAAAGAATAATAATAAATGTAAAGAATATACAAAATATGAACAATTCCTTTTAACCAATGAAGATATACCAAAGAAAGATTCAGTGAAAGGTGTAGTAAGTAAAACATATAATTTTGGAGTTAGAGGATGATGAGACTATGGGTGAAGGATTAAAACAAGTATGGGAGCAAGACATTAAAAATGAAATAAAAGAAGAAGACTGAGAAATTATATGGAAAATGAGGATCTTACGATGTATGTCAGTGAGAATAAAAGAATATTTCTATAAAATAGTTTTAAGATGGTACTTAAATTGAATAAAGTAAATACTAAATACTCAAATGTTTGTTGGAAATGTGGTAACAAAATTGGAACATATTTTCATTTGTGGTGGGAGTGTAAAAAGGTACAAAAATTTTGGAAATTAATTACTAAGGAATTAAAATATATTTTTGATAGAGATATAAAGTTGAATCCAGAAATGGCTTTGTTATCAATATTTGATACTGAAGATTGTGATCATGCATTGGACTGCATTGAGCACTTGCTAGAGAATTGCTTACTCATTTATTGTTTGCTGCGAAATTAATTATAGCTAGGAATTGGAAATCTAAACATGAATTTCAACCGGAAGAATGGTACAATGAAGTCTGGAATCTTGCTGTAAATGATAAATTGACTTGTATTCTAAAAGTTAAGAAAGGGGAATGTGACATCCACCCTCGTACCCCTTTTGCTTGACCTTCAAGCCTCAGAGCACACGAAGGCAAACACTCTTCTTTTACACTTGCTGCCACCAGGTGATCTCTAAATCACCATTTACTTCAGAAAGATTCAGGTCCACACTTCAAGTTCTTTTAAATAAAACTTTGGTTTATTGATTACAGAGATTCATAAATATCTTCAGTAGCTAATTACA